CTGGATCCAGTGATCGCCAGGCGCGACGGTGGCCAAGAGTTGCAGCAAAGCGCATCGTCTCTCAACATTCGTCGTGGCCTTCATCATCGCTGGCTTTGAAGCCCGCTGGTAGATGAACAAGCCTCGGCACGTCTGAATGACATGTTATGACTGAAATGGATGATCCGTGACTTATTAGCAACATGTTGGCGTCGACAAATTACTGGCACCGGGTCTCATTCCATCACCTATCTGGGCACATCGCGAGACATATTCCGACTTCCTCGCTGAATAATGGGATTCTTCGGGGCTACAAGCTGCAGTATTCTCGTATCAGCCTGTCCTTTACGTCGTCCTCGGAAATAATTAAAAGCCAACTTGCCGCACGCGGAGTTGATGTGCATCGCTGCCTTCCACCTTTCGAAGTTGGGACAAGCGTCTCAAGTATTGCTTTAAGGTTCTCTTGGTTATGAGCGATTAACTCTTCGAACTCAGAACATGACATACTGGTTTCGACCGCGAGTTGGCATTTTCTTCGCTGCTCTCAGACCTTCACACATCCGGCCATCTGCTGATGTCGCCAGATTTGACGGTCTCGTTGTTAGATGATCGAGCCGAGGCCTTGCGGGATCGCGAAGCGTCCGTTCGTTCGCCAAACTTGAACACGTCCTTGCTCTGGACCGTCAGCAGGAAGTCATCGCCGAACTGCCCATCGGTGTGACTCTACTCGGCGACTTTGAAGCAAGGTCATTCAGCAGACTTGCGACAAGCGAAGTTGTCGAGCCTAGTACCTGCCCAGAAATGGCATACAACATGACGGTCAAACAACGGACGCAAATGTCATTTGAAGGATTGTCCCAGGGACTCACAGAATCAAAGCTGCAGAAGGGCAGGTTATAAACTCTTCGGGTCGTCGGCGGGCTTTATACGTATGCGAGTGTCAGCAGTGGGACTTGGCAGACTCAGAAGTGCTTACCGAAGTCCCCTCGGCAAGCTGAGTGCAACAGCCTGCGGTAAGGTAGATATTCTCATTCACTTCAGGCTGACTATCGATGCAGAAAAATTCTACATATTCTCCAGCAATGCGGCGAGCATGTAAGCCCCTGCAAATCGCTGGTAGCTCGGGGTGATCGTTTACCGCTCACCCAGTGACGCAAGACTTCTAGATTGCCCCCCTGTTAGATTTTGGCTATGGCCGATTCATCGATCATGAAATGGTGATCTGGGTCCCTCTCAGGAGCGTGGAGCTTATGCTTGAACAAACCATGTTCCACGGCATTATGGCGACGTCTCGTCAAAGTCTCACGACAACATCAACCCCTCCCGCCAAGACTTTACGGAAGGATTTCGCAAGCCCAGCTTGGCCGTGTCATAGGGCTGAGAAGCCTGAGCTCAAACCATCACCTCAGCCGCTAGCTCTGCTCTGACGGATATCATCTGTCCAATCAATCGTTGTTTTTTTTTTAATCATCGTATAGCAAGCCAATAGCTTGCCACAAAACTATTTACCCAACGGATCCTGCGGCTCTGGCTGGCTTCGAAAGTCGCTCTGTCCAGGGTTCTGGATCCTCCCGTCCTCCATGTCTCTGCGGAACGAACTATGGCTGCCACGAGTCTGCCCTCAACCTTGATTTCATTAAAAACCAACGACTTTGTCGTATCTTCGTCAGATTCTTACTACTCACCGCCGAATCCTCATGACATGACCCACACAGCGACATGGACAACATCACGCAAACAGCTCGCAAGAGAGAGCGAATTACCAGTAAGAAGAAGTTCTCAGAAGAAGGGGGTGTGTAAGCAGCAAGGCAGCTGACATGCGTGCAGTCACGTATCCATCCATCCACCATGGCGCATCCCACGCGTGGGGATCCATCTGCGCGCGGCATTGGCAGCTTGAGTCTTCTCACGATCTCACTCACTTCGTTCCCTCGTTGTCCTTATCTCACCAAATAAGGCTGCTGTCATGCACGACAGACGCCAGCGCGTCCATCAATCGACAAGGGCACCACGTCAACACCGACAAGACCGTCCACTCACACCCCTTTCGTTCCACTAACCCTTTCCCTCGTCCATGTTCAGCCACTCCCATTTGCTCTTTCTCCAGACAACCCGCAGCGGGCTTGCTGATCAAGATCCTACACGCAACCACCAACCGACTGATTCGCAGTCAACGTGATGTGTTCCGGCAGCCGCTGACTTGGTTGAGGTTCGAATACGACAGGCAACGTCTTTGGGCGTGAGACCCCATACGTTCTATAGCCACGACGGAGACATCATCTCATCTGCATCTTGGGTTCGCATCGGCAGACGATCAGAGATATGCCCTAGACACAGAGCCGCATGTCTGCGGCTCGATTGATCTCGGGTATCGTAACGGCATCTGTGGACTATTCATAATTTGCAAGGAAAGGATTATGGTTCCTATACCGAGTTCACCAAAGGACTTACGTCTACCAATTCTCTCTCCTGGAACACTCAAAACCCGAGGGCACGAGAACAGAGACAAACTACCAAAGGCCTTATTTTCCTTGCTTCCAAGACCGTTCTAGCTCGGTGGAGGGTAGGATCCTCTGGAATGTCCCGAGTATGACGTGAGATCGTTGGGAATAGAGGGGGTGGAACGGCCACATCATTCACAAGGAGGGTGGCAGGGGTTTTAGAGTTGGAGATGATCCATCAAGTCCAGGTACAACTACGACACTACTGTGCGGAGAAGGATCCTTCGTTCTCACCCGCTAAGAATGCGGTGGAAGGCATCGTCGGTTGCGGCCCCGCCAACGCCAACAAACTGACAATCCCCTCCTTCACGATCCTGCCGCGGACAGACACAGGCAGTCATGCAGACAATCGTCAAATGGCAACTGGGAGCAACCTGGGGCTTGTCGGTCTCTCGGTCCCGAAGGCGTTCGTCCGTCTTTCGCACAGCAGGCCTCATCCGGCATGGCTCCTGGGTGAAGCAGATGGAGGATGAGGCAAGGAGAGGGGTGAAGTAATATTCTCCGATGATCTGATGGCCCACGTCTGGTATCCCGGCGGAAGGAATAGTTGCTTCTATTGAAAGCGTACACCAGGCCAACACAGCGGGCTACCTCAAGCGGGCCGTGACGAAGGAGCTGGACGTTCACTGCAATCGGCATCGTCTTGGCTCTCATGATGCGTCGTTTTCAAGTCGGACCGGGGACTTGCGGCGAGAAAGGTCAGCACCATGGCTTGTATGAAGAGGAGGCGTCTTTCAGTCATCCTCCTTCTACTCGAAAACGCCCTCTGACCTGTCCGGTTCTTGGCAGAAGCGGTAACAACTTTAGTATTTTGAGAATGCAGGCACGACGGCGGAGCAGTGGGAACCGCAGAGCCAGCGTGGATAGCATTCACCGCTGGTGATCATAACCTCGAATAATCTTACCTATTTAGTCCAGGGAGCTGACACGACGCGACGCCGTTTCACACCTTGGACACCCAGAGCAGCGCGCTCGCGAGTTTGAGGCACGCATCACATGGCCGAATCTGATATACTTCAAATGAGAAAACAGGAGAAAAACAACAAGGTCACCGTCAAGCGCAGTCGGGCGGTCCAACGTGAGAATCATGCCGCGGCGAAGATGACGAGGTTTTATGACAGCCTTCCTGCTCGTGACTCTTATCACAAGGTTATCCTCAAACACAACGAGGCTGGCCGGCACGGCCGTGATGAACTGCGTGTCATGGAAACACGAAACCGAACCTAGACTGAAGCTATCTATTGGTATGTCGGCGAGGTTCCTGGTCCCTACAGCTCAAGTCGGCAGCAGCTGCCTTGTCTACATGAGTCGGGGACGAGACCACTTTGGTCAATGACGGCGGCAGCATCTGCTGGAATTGTTCGTCGAGTGAAATTGAAGAAACCCGTCGATGATTCTAGCCCTGCGCAGAGGTCAACTCTGGTCTCTTTGCCTCATTTTTATTTCTGTTCTTCTTTTCTGCTTTCGCCCTTCCTTCAGTTGCCGGTCACAGATATCAAAACGATTGACCTATGAGAGGGGGGTGAGTCGAACCGGCCCGCCATCGAGCCAAGGCGAAGGAGTCGTAAAGCTCACTCACTCCGAGGTCGTCACGTATGCTGCTGCCTTGCGAGTGAGGGGGGGAAAAGGGACTTTGGTTCGGCTGCCGGGCCACTTGGGGCATATTCGCATTACATCAGCGGCCAAGCGAGCGGGAGGCCGTGAATCCCATCCTGTTGCAGATTGTCGTCTTGCGAGTGAGGAATGGCTGATCTGCGGTTCTGGCTGAGACTGCATTCAAGCACTGAGGATAGCTCAGGCGGCCATGGCATGTATTTTGCATAATGTCCAAAGATTTGCTTGTTCGCGGATGCAAAGAAGGAGCTAGACTTTCCCCATCGCATCACCCCAGGCTCTTCTCTACTCCGCACTCAACTTACACATGAGATTACCAACAGACTTTGCCTTCAACACAACTCGAGATACATACATACACACCTGCTTGCTCAACAGACTAGTCCCCAGCTCCCAACATTGAGCGGAAACCTCAACTTATCAAACACACAAAACCAAGGAAAGAGAAAGAAAGAAAAAAATGTCTCATCGTAAGCGTCATTATGCGTAAAGATTGCAAGGAAATCAGTTCGAAAACAAACAAGGAAAAACAGGTGCCCGATGCCTTTTTTTGTTCCCCCACATGCCCATGTTTCCACTCTCCACTGCCCGAGAAAACGTCATTACACAAGGAAATCAAGTACAGGATATGCCAAACTCCCCGTGTGGCCGTGAGGCAGATAGGTAAGCCAGATGGATAAAGAAAAGAAGAGAAAAAAAAAAAGAAAAAAGAAAAAGTATCATGGCATCCGGGCACTCTAGACGAGACTCTGCCGAGTGAGATTGTGTGCCGCCCCGATTTTTGGTTCCTACCGTGATGCTGAAGTCCTCTATCACCACTCTACGCGCAGAGGAAATGTCCACTTTCTTCATATAGACAACCCATATTAGTCCAACCTGAAGCCGAAGCCGGTGATGTGCGTGGCCCTAGTAACGTCTCTCTTCTGGCAAAACGTTCTCACCATAGAAACCGCCGTGGTGACCATCGTCGCAGGATGCCGCGCATGCGAGGCAAACACCGCCTCCATATACTCTGGTGTGGCGTTTCCAACCGGCTCCGCTGCCGTCCAGCATCGAAATGATCTCGCCTTGCACCTTGATCTCGCGAAAGGTTCCATCCTCAAGGATCTCTCCATGAATCGGCGGCGGCCCTGGAAGAAGAGGTGATGTTGGCGGATATGACGAGGGAGAAAAGACAGTTCCAGGTCCATCAGAAGCGGAGCTCGTCGTGGTAGCTGGTATCCCAATAGGTAGAGTTTTGGTGTAAGACCGCCTGCGAGGCGTCGGTGACGACCTCGTAGTCTGAACGTTTTGCGTCGCCGTTGTCGTCGCCATCTCGGTCTCTGTCTCTGTCTCTGTGGACGACATGTAGTCTGGGTTGGGCTGCTCAAAGAAAGATGCATCGAGTTCCGAGTTGAAGCCGGTGAAACTCCTCCTGCGATCATCGTACGTGAAAACAGACGGGGACAGCTCTGGGGGCGTAAGCGGAGGCGGGGGCGGCGGCCTCGACATCATCAGTCTTGTCGATGTAAGGCCTGAAAGCTTTCCCGGGCCGAACATGCTGCCAGGTGACGGCGTACGCTCACGGCCTTCATCATCCTTACGCGCGCCTGCGTCTTTCGCATTCTCCGTTGAGAGGCTCGAAAATGGGCCTGTTTTCCTGCTGAACCCATCCTCCGCAGTTGCGGTATTACTGCTGACTCCACGTGACTTCTCCTCCATGGGCCAGATCCTGTCGTGGAAGAAGTGATGGTGGAGACTTTGCTGATTGACCAAGTGGCTCAGATCGTCATCAACTTGCCCGTCTCGGTGAGCCTGGCTTGTATTTCCGTTTCCTGATTTTGACTTGGACATGGTATAGACCACGAGGCGGAAGATGGCAAGAAGGCCCAAAATGGCGAGACCGGCGCATATATGAGAAGCTGAGAAGAGATGGTAAGAGCTGATAGTCGACAACGGCTGCTCAACAGCCACCTCAGCATGCGTGACGGCAGGCATGGCTGCTTAAAGGGTCGATTATGGTAAGTGATTAGGTTTGGTTGGTGGTCGTATTGGGGGTCGCCTCTCTCCTGGCTGTGGTAGAGGTAGAGGTACCTTCCTCAGCACGCTTGGGATGCGGTGTGGTGGCACGTCTGGGGTATGCCTGTGTGTCCGGCGACCAGGCCAAGACCTAACGGTGGCTTGCGAGTAATGAAAAGGCGCTGCTGGACATAAGCGACTAGGGGGTTGGGATGGTGGGCCTCGGCCGCCGCATCTGCCGTAAGTCGAGTGGAAAAGGTGCCGAGTAAAGCTCCGGTTTGGACCGATTGCTTTTGGGTATTTCAGAAGGCAAGTGACCGAGAGGTGGGTGGAAAAAGGCCGAAGACAAAAAAAAGTAAGGGAGAGAGGGTTGCCGGGTTCTATATGGCCGAAAGGTGTGTAAGTCTTCGATCGTGCTGAAGTGGATGCCGCGCGCTAGGGGGCGAGGCTCAGTCTGTGCCGCGAGCTCTGAAACCCATGGGTAAAGTTGAAAATAGAGGTTCCAGTGTCGCGGCGAGCGGTTGCTCCCAGTAATTGTAGTAAATGACTGACTTACCACAAAGCTGCTACCGAAGTTCCCTGGGGTTGCGTAGTGAAGTGATTCGAGGTCAGGTTCCGCGCTTGGCAAATGCAGGTCGCAGTAAGAGGAGGATGAGACAACAGGCCGTTGTTTTTGTGCGCAACGCTGTCTAGATTACAAAGGCTTTGTTTGTCTGTCAGCAACGATGACAGATTCCTTTGTGCCCGGGGACAATCCAACAAATAAATGAGGATTGGGAGACGGGGCTGGTGGCAGACGTCAAGGGGACGGGAGCTGTGGTGGGGTGGAAGGATTGCGGACAGAATGGGAAGGATACTGTATCATATATATAGACATGGTGTCGATGCGCCATGTCGCGGGAGACGAGGCACGATGGAGACCGACTCGCAAGCAGATGGCATCGCAACTTGCAAGATCTGGCCCGGCAGGGAAATGGCTGCCAGAAGGAATGAGATAATAGACCAAAATGAAGGGGTTCGAGGCCACCATGGGAGGGTGTGCGGCGAAAGGGGAGGTGTGTATGAGTTGACGGGCAGCAAGCATCCTGACCTTGGCTTGGCTTGCGCGGAATAAAGGTGAGCCCTGAGTTCCCGTTTTCAGTGCGCCGTCTTCATCCTCAGTCAGCCTCTGTCTGTCTTTTGAAATTAGCATTAGGCGAGAGCCCGGGGCAGGCCAATGGCGCTAGTCAGGGCCCATTAGACGCCCAAGTTCAGTGATCAGTCACGATGGCGACTACGCTGGCCTTGTTGTTTCCATGCTTGTTTTTGCTGCAAGGCGGCGGTTGTAGAGGTGTGCGGATAACCACTTCCACCGGCTGTCTTTAAAGCTGAAGACGCTTCAATGCGAAGCAGTGTTGCAGAAGCGGGCGTGAATGGGGTGGCCCATGGGCGCGTCCGCAGGAACAAGGTGGGGAACAGACCCGGGCGAAGAAGACGCCATGATACTCTGAAGATGCGGTCATCATGTATGTGTATGTTGGAAGGCGATTGACCTTGCTTCCTGGGTTTGTTTGAGAAACGCTGTTGGAGCCCTACGTCGCACACTTCCCATCTGCGCGGACGGCCTAGAAAACAGTTCCTGTCAGCACCAACAAGCCTGGTGGTAATGGCAATGCAATGCGCCCGAATCCGCTTCTGATAAGGACAGGCTTCTCTGAGTGGGACGGAGAACGAGATGGTGAACGAAACCCCAATTAAGGCGGTGTAGGAATTCCATGTGTTTGATCATAGATTTGACAGGCAGCCGCAGATTACGCCTAGGATTAGAACGGCTCGGACTCTTTTTTTCTTTGCTGGCTATTGTTGGCAGGTTGGGACGGACAACGGACGGCAACATTTGGGGTCGATTTTTTTCTCGAGACCGCGTCAGGGGATCCCTGTCGTTCAGCCCAACAGGATGTTCACAGTTCCTGCGAATGACCCGTCTGTTAGCGACCGCAGCACAGGGAACCGCTCCAGACGACCATACCAGCTGGGCTGGTCCCCCGGCCTTGGTCCTAGTGGAAGTCGGCGCAACGTGGAGTCTCGGTGGCCGATCCACCGTAAGAGACGCGCATCCTGCTTCGCCGGGCTCTAGTATGACGAAGCACTGCGCAAGCTGCAACGGAGAATAGCAACATGGCAAATGGTGGCCAATGCCACGGAGGCCCCCAGTGAACAAACAGAGCAAGCTGAACTCCAGCGCATATGGACAGAATCAGAGTCCGTGTCTCGCGAGTCGAGGACGAAGGCGCGCGCGCGGGGCAGGTGCTTCGAATGACAGGCAGCTGTAGCTGGGCAACTGAACTGGGACATTGCTGACCTATCCACCTCGTAGGGAATACAGTCCACAATCCAAAGTGGCGGCTCGGCGACTTGCTTCGTTGTCGTTGTATTCGGCTGATGGCCGTGCCGTGGGGTTAGGGACCTTGTACGGGGGATAGGGACGCTTCGAGAGCAGATGACCCGTCAAGCGTCAAGCGGTCGCAAAAGCAAGCGCAGGAGACATCGGGGACCTGGGAGGATTGTCGCAAAAAACAGTTAGCGTGGGCGAGTGGAACGGGGGGAGCTACTTGGTAACCTGGTTCAGCTGAGGTGAGCCCGCCCTACAGCCACGCCATCTGGGATCCCTGCCTTGTCTTGCTTGCCTAGTGTCGCAGAGGCGGGTGCCATAACTGCGAGCTTGTTCCTCTTCTAGGCCCTTTCCATCGAACGATTGGTTCATCAGCCAGCCCTGTGGTGTCGATCGATGTACCCCCCTTATTCAAGATGGTGCTTGTTGGGAGCATTGGATCCGTAAGGACCCGTGGGCGATCGTGATGCAAATGTGAAAGAGGCTGCAAGAATAACATAGTGGCAGACATGAGTAGAAATGCGAGATCAAGTAGTCTCTGGCCCGGACTTGTTTACCGTTGTAGCCGGTGATGACATGTCGTCACTGGCAATCGGTTGCCAAAAATCGGCATGCCGAAGCAGGATGCGATGCGATGCGACGCGACGGACAAAGGACCCAGGACCGGTTCCGACCTGGAGTCTGCATGAAATAGCGCATGAGCAAGTACCGGGAATTTGCAAATGTGCAATGCGAGTGTGTGTGAGACGGTAACGGAGCGGCTGCGAGCTTCAGCTATTGACGTCTGGTCGGTGACAAGGCGCGCTTGGAGGCCAAGAAACGAGTGGCAGGCGGATACGGAAGTGTAAGTACGGATAGGATCGGTGGATAAGGTAATTAGGTACCCCGTACTGCAGGTGCAGGTTCAAAGTCGTTGGAGCGAGATGGACAGAGGAAGGAAACGATCGGCCTCGGCTGAGCAGAATGGGTGAAGGGCGTCTGACAAGGCGTTTGTATGGTGACTGCGGGTTGCTTGACGAATGATGAGTTCAAAGGAGTCTGCCCCAGCCCAGGCCACTGGCCAGAGACGGAGTGGTGTGCAACGAATGGATCGAGAGGAGGCCAGGACGGGTCGTGGTAGAGTGGCTTGTTGGTTGGCTGGGCCAAGTTGGTGATGCATCAAGTCCTTTTTTTCAGCTGCCTCTCGAACGGGACCTGCCTCCCATTCGCTGTCGTAAGGCCGGCAGTGGAAACCTCAAAATGCTATGCAGCTGGGGTGCACCTTCTTGTCACCTCCGTCCTTGCTGCCCGTTAGGCTCCCAGGTCGGGTCGTGGTCTGTTCTTTCCCCATGCGAATCCATTCGTTCCTTCCCCTTTGCCAAACACGCCTTCCTTCCTGCCTACCATCGACCTAGCCAGCAGCAGGAGCAGGAGCAAGGAGTGAAGTGCAGATGCCCAATTCGGAGGGGGCCACCCCAAGATGGAATGCGCTCCGTCCAATCTTGAGTCAAGGAGCTGCAGACGATCACCCGCTGTAAGGTATTTTCAGCCCAGATGACCTGCATCTACGGTATCTGCTTCCTACCTTAGACATCCGTACCGCAAGGTATGGAACATGAGGAATGAGGAACGGGGAATGCTCCTGCCTGTCTCGTCTAGACCTGACTTGCCTTGCGTGTGTTGCCGCTGCCGCTGCCGCCCCCGCGGCGGCCCTCGTGCTTGCCAAAATTGGCTGTGATCTGTAAATCGCAACAAGGAAGTCCCTTCCTGCTGGTCCTCCGTGGTTACCGTACCCCAGAACCAAAGCACCATCGCCAGCAAGACATTCTTTTCCAACGACACCTCATCGGACTCTGGCAACCGACAACGACCATCCCCTCCATTTGCGTCAACAGAACACATTGCCCGCCCCTACGGCCGACCACTCCCCATCTCTCAAGCCAGTCCAGCGGCCGCAGACACCCGACACAGCCACAAACCCCGACCCGCCGCCTCCAATCATCATTCCTCTTCTAATCCCAGGGGCCGACCTATCACTTGCCGCTTGCTGCTTGCCACAGACAGTATGCCCCTCGCTCCCTGGGAAAACTGGGAAAACATCTATTTCCACCGTGTCGCCGACCAGACGGTAACGAATCACCGACCTAAGATGACGCCAAACCGTGTCTTTTCTTCTCCTACCTGTTACACCATCTTCGGCTCAGAGACAAGACCAGCAGTCTCCGCCGACTCCGAAGCCAACTTACGTCGCTATGGTTGGCTTATTCTCCAGACACTCCCCGCCCACGGACCGAAAGGCCTCGACACGAGATGTTCGGCCCCCAACCTATACCTTCTCCGATTGGGACCGCCGAGCCACGGAGCCGACGCGGCCGCGCCCCCCCGGCGGCGAACCTTCGCAGCTCCTTGCTCCTGCTCCTGCTCGCTATGTTCCTGCCACTTGCGACAGGATCACCGCGGATTTCTCGCCAACAACTCCAACAACTGGACCTAAGTGGTTTCGTCGTTCTTTTTGGGAAATTCCTCATGCCGTCATTGATTCACCTCAAACATGACCGTACCAGTCTTTGCGCCGTCTCCTCATTGATGCGTTTACGAGACCGGCAAGGGAATGAGAAAACCGCCAGTC